GATAGGTGGAAGGCTGCACGCTACTCGGCAAACGCATAACACTCAAACAACGGAAAACGGAGGCACGCATTATGCATGTAGTCTCTGCACACGTGGAAAGCAGGGTATATGAGGTCCATCTGGGTGTGCTGTGTATTTCAAGTGAGCGACAAACAAAAACAATGATGACTCGCCCTATCACGGACTCAGTCTGTTTTCTGTGTGTGTGTGTGTGTGTGTGTGTGTGTGTGTGTGTGTGTGTGTGTGTGTGTGTGTGTGTGTGTGTGTGTGTGTGTGTGTGTGTGTCTGTCTCTGTCTCTGTCTCTGTCTCTGTCTCTGTCTCTGTCTCTCTCTCTCTCTCTCTCTCTCTCTCTCTCTCTCTCTCTCTCTCTCTCTCTCTCTCTCTCTCTCTCTCTCTCTCTCTCTCTCTCTCTCTCTCTCTCTCTCTCTCTCTCTCTCTCTCTCGCTCTCTCTCTCTCTCTGGCTCACTTCTCGAGAATGGCACAATGCAGCCGAAGAGGAATTGTGTACAGACAAGACAAAGCTTAAGGCCATTTAACTTACATTAGACTTATCGCACACTCACACATACTCACACACACACTCTCTCTCTCACATGACTCGGCTATGCAAAACAAACAAGATGCTTGTTGGGTCTTCATTTGTCACGACAACGCCAGTGACGACGGTGCAGGGGCCACATACTGCAGTGGCTGCGCGAGGCGAAGATTGCGTGCCCGACACGGCGCACCACACAACTTGCACGTGATATCCCCTTCGCTCTGTGTATGTGTGCGCGCACGTTTTTGGGGGTCGTGGAAGCTTGTGTGAGTTGCATGATCATGAGCAATCGCTCATACACACACGGAGACATGCACACATACACACACACACATACACGCACATACACGCACACACATACCTCACACTCACACACACATACACACACATAAGCATACCGTGAAAGCGATGACGGCACATGAGAAGCAGATGGGGTGGCCACAGGCGCCACTGCAGGGGAGCTGAATGCAGCGGCCAAGGCAACGCATACACCTCAACGACGACGATGACGACGATGATGATGGGGATACCTCGGAAGCGTGGGGGTCGACAGGCCTCGCTGAACAACGCACACATGATTGCGAGAGTGAGAGGAGGATAGCAAGCAGGGAGGAAAGGGAGGGGGCAAGCAAGGGCAGGACCAAGCAAGGTGGTGCAGAACAGGCGAGGTGGTGTCACAGTGCAGCGGGATGGCACGAGGTTTCACCACCTGTGAGCCACGCGGGCAAGGACGCGGGAATGTGCGCAACGCGCCGCAGTGCAACAAGAAGCACTGCACGGCGGGTTGGTGTGACAAAGGATGCAAATGCATGCGAGGTGAGTGGTGGAAAGTAAAGCGTGTGTAGCAGTGACACGTTACGTGGGACATTGGTGCCAAGGGGAAAGGTGGAGATACAGAGATGAGCACACGGCAGCGCAGCCCAAACCTTGAATGAGCATTTCCTGTTGCAAGTAACCGAGCCTAACAAGAAGGAGGAAGAGGAGGTGGAGGTGGTGGTTTGGTGAAGGAAGATGGGAATAGGACATGAGCATGAGCATGTCGGGTACAGACAGGAAGTTGAACCGCAAGTGCAGCCAGCGATTGAACGCGACAAATACGCGCACGCAAACAGGCAAGTGGACATGCTGGCAGACAAGAGGGCAGGGCAGCGCACATTGTCACACACATACACACACACACACACACACACACACACACACACACACACACACACACACACACACACACACAGACGCACGCAAGGAGCAAGGCGAGCGCATGCCACAGGTGCCTGTGCTGCGTACATTGTGGTGGCTGATGCGGCGGTGCGTGTATACGAGAGGCGGAGCAGGCGGTCAGGCAGCGTGGGGAAATCAGCAGAGTACAGAAACACAAAGTGGTTCAGTGTCGACAGCACTTCCACCACCTGCACACGTTGAGATGGGGGCCAAGGTGTTGAGGTTGCGATTGGTGAAGCGGGCACAAGGTGGGCAAGGCGTGAGCTGCCGTCTGTTTGCAGCGGTTGGAATCGTTCACACAAGCACGCATGTACAGATTCACGTTTGCGTACATGCACACACATACACAAAGGCACGCATGCACACAGAAGAGAGCATACTCGTTGCGCATTTGTGAGGAGGCGAAGCAAGCGCCGCTTCCAGGTGTGTTCGCCTTGCACGAAGGGGATGTTTAAGCACGGATGAGTTGGGGGGGGGGGAAACACAGCCCAAACCACGCGCAACCACAACACAACTGCGAAACATGCACAAGCACATCTGTGCACACATTGCTCAGCAAATACGCATTCAAGGCACACCTGCTCGATGAAACCTATGGCCAAGCATGAACTGAAGGCCGCGCTTGGATATGTACACAGCTATTGCCGTTCTGAGGCACATGGTGGAAGAAGATCAAATGTGACATGTCATGGAACAACACGGCGCAAGGTGTGTGCGCAAGAATGCCGTTGACGTGTGAGCAAGCGCGTTACATCCCATGTGAAACCATTTCCAATCGAATACACGCAAGTGTCAGTGCCAGTGACATCGGCAACGTACAAGATGGGCCTGAGCAGCAGCCGCCGCAATGAGGTGCCCTTTAAATGTGTTGGAGACGGAGCAGCCCGGCAGGAATGCAAGCAAGCAAGCACGCGAGCAGGCAAGGAGAGGTTCATGTGAGACACGCACAGCGCTCGCAACGGCGATACGACAAACCAGTGAATCGCAAACACACGCATGCATAACGCACACACACACACACGCACACACATACGCACAACAAGGATGGCATGCAAGCTTGTTGAGCATACCTTGGCTGGACGAATCCCAGCGAGTGTCTGCCCGTATGTGCGCTTCCACACGAGAAGGGAGCCCTGATTGGGAGGAAACATACGATGTTGAGCTGCACACACACACACACATGTACACACACACAGACACAGACACACGCACACGCATGTACACACACACAGACACAGACACACGCACACACACACACACACACACACACACACACACGCACGCACGCACAGACACACAAAAAGAGCTGCGATCACTTCTCAAAAAAAAACAAAGCGCGCATTTCACACACACAAAACGACCACAACGATGATGATGACAATGTTCTTGGTCGTGGGTGCTGTTCGGGTGGTGGTGGTGGTCCTTGCCGTCGTTGTAGCCACGGCAATGGCGTTGGGGGACCAGGAAGGCGTCGACAGGCTGGGGTCCCTGGGCTGGGAGTCGCTTGCGCCAAGTCTGCACACGCACCTGGCCCACCGCGCCGTGGCCGGCGCCTTCTGGAGTAGCGAGGACGTGTGCCTGCACTCGCACAAGGCGTTTCCCTTCTGCGAGGCCAGCCAGGTGCTGCCGCTGCTGGTCACCGGTGTGGGCCGCAGCGGGACGCACCACATCTCAAACGTGCTGCAGCTGAAGGGCCTCGACGTCTGCCACGAGCACATCTGCTCGGACGGCTCCGTTGCCTGGACATATGCGGCGGTGGACCCCGACAACAAGTACCCCTGGCAAGGGACCGGGCACGAGATGAAACACCACCGCTTCCGCCACGTGTTCCACCTGGTGCGCCACCCCTTGCGCAGCATCGCCAGCCTCACAACGTACCTGGACGACTCGTGGGAGTTCATCGGCAGGCACACGCCCGAGGTGCCCGGGCTGGCCACCATGGAGCCCATCCTGCGCCGCGCCCTCGTGCACTGGGTCACGTGGAACCGCATGATCCAGATCTACGCCGACCAGCGCTTCCGCACAGAGGACACCCCGCCATCGGTCATCTGCCTTGCTGCCGGGTTCAACGAGACGATATGCGACGTGCACTCGGACCACCACGCGCCACGCGCCCCACGGGAGCACCCCACCATCAGCTGGAGCGACCTGGCGGCGGTGGACGCGGAGTTCACCAAGGCGGCGATGATCCTGGCGCGAGAGTATGGGTACGAGGTGGAGCCGGGCCACGATGGGGGGCCTCACTCAAACCACCACCACCACCACGACCATCACCAACAGGACCCCAATGAGCACAGCCAAAGTAGCAACAGCACCGCCAAGGAGGATGGCTGAGGGACGCTGCGAATGCTTGCTGTGTGGCTCACTGCGCCATCGCAAACGTGGTGTTTTGGAGACCACGACGCCACGCCTCGACTCCCTTTTGTCTTCCCCTCCCCCCTTCCTTCTTCGCGTTGATAACCCACGGCTGGCTGACTTGCTCGCACACTCGCACATCACCATGCGTTGCGGATGTTGTATTAATATGTATCGCTGGGCAGTTACACAGTCCCCATAAACAAACACACGAACATGCAGCTGAACAATGCAGATGACACGCAAGCTTGCTGGCACACAAGACAAGCAAAATGGGAGGAAGGGTGGACAAAAGAGGAGGGTGGGGAGAGCACGTGCAAAGCACACACACACACACACACACACACACACACACACACACACACACACACACACACACACACACACACACACACACACCACTAGATGATGTGTTCGGCTGCGGAGATGATGGTGTCGAGCTTGTCTGCCCACTCCACCAGCGACGCATATCTGCCCACGCGCTCCTGCTGCTGCAGCACAACCAGCCGCTCCACGTGGTCAATCTGTCCTTGCACAGCCCTGCCGACGCGAAAACAAGATGCGGGGAGGGTCGAGGCAATAAGGGGGGAAAAGGAGGGAGGGACAAGGAATTGCGGATTGTTGTGAGAACATGTCAAGGTGATTGAGGTTTCGTTTTTGTTGCGAGAACATGCACCAACAACGCGCCGTGTGACGCACCACCACCACCACCACCACAACAACAACAACAACAAGTCACCTCCTCCACCACAAACACAACCACAACCACCACCACTTCACCGCAGCAAAACACAGTGGACTGACTTGTCGAGGATGGCGGCGACGAGCAGATCCACCACCTCCTCCTCCGTGATGCCCAGGCGGTCACTGATGAACGAAATGCGCACGCGCGTGTACGGCCTGATGAGCTTCACCATCGCCTCTGTGCGGATGTTTCGCAGAAGGTCCTCAATGTACGAGCGCACAAACGGATCGCCCATGATGGCCGCCTCGTGCACGCGCAGAATGCGCTCAAACGCCTTGACGTCGTTCGCTTGGTACGCCCTGGAGTAAGTGAAGCAGATGGGAGGAAGGATTAGTAAGTGGGGCGAGAGCAGGAGAAAGGGGAATAGGGGAGATGGTACTGGTGTGGCAGAGGCCAAACAAACAAACACACACTCACACACACACACACACACACACACACACACTCATCACTCACACACACACACTCATCACTCACTCGTACAGAACAGCACACGCACACACGCAAGCTCCCACGTGACAAAACGACCCACCCGACGAGATCTGTCATGGCGACAATCTGAGGGTCGTTCTTGTACGGTTTGGACTGATGCGAGTGGTTTTGGTTGCGCAGTACAAAGAGGGGGGGGGGGCAACGTGGTGTGGATTGAGCGCGACGATGCACATGTGGGTGAGAATAATCAACATTCATGCAACAGCACGCTCGCGAGACACACACACACAAGAGAGCGTTCTACAGCTGAAGGTTCATGTGTGTGTGTGTGTCACCTCTTGGGCATCAAAGGGGTCGACGTTTGACTTCATGAGCATGTTTGCCAGCACAAGATACTTCAGGCACGAAATCTTCTTGTCGCTCCCGCTCTCATCGTAGCTCTTGAACGCCTGGTGAATGGTGAATGGTGAATGTGAGTGAATGTGAGTGAGTGTGTGTGTGTGTGTGTGTGTGTGTGTGTGTGTGTGTGTGTGTGTGTGTGTGTGTGTGTGTGTGTGTGTGTGTGTGTGTGTGTGTTTTGGAGGTGGCTGCTGTTGAGTCAGTCACCTCCACCTCCTCCACTAATGGCAAACCTCAAAGAAGTCCTCGTAGGCCTGCGACCACTGCTGTTCATCAAGATGCATCTTCCCGCCGCACTCTGTTGTCACATCACGGCGATGGGAGCAGATGAGGGCATCGCATGATGGAAGCACAAACACATGGCTGCAACTCCAAATACACACACAAGCACAGAGACAGAGAGAGAGAGAGAAACACACACACACACATACACACACACACACACACACACACACACACACACCCGCCACCTCCCTCTCCCCTAACCTCTGACGATGCCGAGGATGTACGGGTGCGGAATTGCGGACCGGATGCGCAGTGCCCGCTTGTACAGGTCCTGACAACAGCACAGCGGTCATGACGGGGACAGAGCAGTTGAGGTGGTGGCGATGCAAAGGAGGAGTCAGCACATGCACAGCGCTGCATGCATTCGAGTACGCATGTACAGCAACGACAAAGCACACGCACGCGACGGGACACAAAAGTACCCACTCCGACGCACACACACACACACACACACACACACACACACACACACACACCTTGAGCTTCTTCGTCTCCTTCTGAGCGGTGTACATCTGAATCTCCAGCGCGTAAATCTCCATCAGCTGCGTGCCGTTGCGCGAATCCGCGTCGTCGTCGTCGCCGGCATCACCCTCCCCCTCCGCGGGCTCGAGCGAGCTGTGCAGCTCCTGCACCACCTCCCGCAGCCGCACAAAGTCGCCCTTGTCAAGCAAAACCTTGCCAAACTGGCTCGGGTGGTGGTGGTGGTGGTGGTGGTGGTGGTGGTGCGTGCGTGCGTGCGTGCATGCGTGTGTGTGTGTGTTGGGTGTGAGACGATGTTGAAGAGCTCTCGCACGATGTCAGTCATGGGCCGATAGAGCGAATATTCGCATTAACTCGTACATGCACACACACGCGCACACGCGCACACACACACACACACGCACGCACGCACGCACGCACGCACGCACGCACACACACACACACACACACACACACACACACACACACACTAGCGACCATGCATGCATTTAATATACACATACCTTGAGATTTGTCTTGAACCAGAGGCGCTGGTTTCTGCTCTCCCGAAGTGCGTCCAGCGTCACGCGGAAAATCTGCTCCAGCTGTTCAGGCTGCACACCACACCACACCACAAAGGCAACAGCAACGGCAACGGCAATGACATTCACACATACACACATGTGTGCACAGCACGTTGTTGTGTCATGGCAAAGATGGTGGTGTGAGCATGCGGCAAAGCGTGAAAACCTTTGTACAACCTCAAATGGATACATGTCTCTTGAGAGTATGCAAGAAGCGCAAGGACACGCGCACACGCATTTACATTCACAGACACTCACGTTGAACCCGGTTGAGACGTACTCCAAGATGGAGTTGATGGAACGGCTGCTGTAGTTTTGTGTCACAGCAGACTGTTGGCAGACGCACGCGCGCGAAAACAAGCAAGGGGCGCCCAGCATTGCAAGGTGCGTGAGACAAGGTCGGTGCCGTGTTCATGGCGTGAAGGTCGGCGTTCACACTAGTACAAACCAAATGCAATCTACGTGTGTGTGTGTGTGTGTGTGTGGTGGTAGCGCGCCAGTGTACCTTAATGTATGTGAGGAGAGACTTGTACGTGTCGAAGAACTCGTCGTATCGTTTCTGCGTGTCGGCATGCAACGGTGCAAGAACGGCGGATGAGACGCCAAATCTGTAACTTTGTGTTGGAAACACGGGCCAGCGCGCTGTGTTCCAGCGAGAGGAGCAGATACAGAGGACAAACACCGCATCCCAACTTACTTGTGCAAACAACACTTTGAGTGACTGTTTGTGTGCCTTGAATCCCCAGTCGCCCTTCTCAGGCTCGTTGTCGATCACCTGCATTGACCCATCGACACACCGCAGTTGTTGGTCGATCAATCGACAAGCAAGGGTGAGCAGTGCGGCGTCGTGACGCGTCCTCCCATCGTGAATACAAATAAGAAGACACATACATACACGCACACACATACACACATTCACGCACACATGCACACAAACCTTCTTGAACTCTTCGAGGGCCTTGTCGGGGTCATCTGTTTTGTAATTCTTGGCATTGTAGTATGTGTTCTCGAGGTTGGCGTCGTCATCGTCAGATCCCTCATCAGATTCGTACTCCTGCCAGGGAAGTTGTGTGTGTGTGTGTCAGTGTGTGTATGT